AAATCCAACTTAAAAAAATGGAAAAATACCCTTCTTATTTAAAATCATGTCCTTCAGTGTGTATTTGGATTAAACATGTTTCAGTCAATCCCCACCTGTTTCATTCAAGTTTGAAAGTTAAATTTTTCCATATTTTAGTTACCAGTCTTAGTAAATTAGCAGGCTGGAAGACCACATTGCATTGAGGAGAGCTCCAAATCATGCTCATATAACATCTGTCTGTGTTCAGTGCTGTACATTCTATACCATTAATAAAAGATAGTGGATCTACTGCCAATTTCAACTGATAGCAATTAGCCCTCAGACTGTGTTATGAGACTTCTGCTTTGCATAAAAGACCAACCAAGCCATGAGTGCTTAATAAATGTTAATATGGTACTAATCACTTGTTTCATTTATGAGTTAATTCACTGACATTTTGTAAACCTACTTGATTTTAAAACGTACTTAAGTAAAAACTGTAAATAAAAGCACTCAAACAAGAAAAAGTGCATCAAAGGTGAAAGAAGAGAAAGAATACTTTTAACTTGACATATTTACAAAAATGTGTAATAAAATATGAATAATGATAGGATGAAATGCCTTCATTCTATTGCTTATATTTACATATAATATAGTAACAGTTTAATGCCTTTCAAGTGGTAATGAAAACCAAAACAGGAAAAATGATTTTTTTTTTTTTTGAGGGACTACCAGAGATTGAACTGACGACCTCTTGCTTACCAGGCAAGCACTTGAATCACTGAGCTAAATCCCAGGTCTGGAAGTGATTATTTTACTTGTAATTGCTTACAATTATTATGCATAAAAAAGTTGAAGTTGTTAAATCAAATATTGTTGTAAAAAGTGTCTTTTAAAGTCACAACTGCAGCCTTCTTTTTATTTGAACACATCCTAAAAGTGTGATACTTTTTCCAAATCATTACCAGAATGCTTTCATTCATGTGTTGGAAAGTTATCCCAGTGTAGCAGTGTTGGGAGGAAGGGGTCTAAAGGGAAGTGTGCAAGTCATGAATTTGGTACTCCAGGAATGAATTAGTGTCATGATTGTAGGAGTCAGTTTATTATTGTGAGAGCGGTTTATCATAAAAACAAATTTAGCCCCCTTTCACCCTAGCCCTCCCTTGACCTTCCATTTTCTGCTTTGGAATGATGCAGTGAAAGGCCCTGCCGGATACTAGCCTTCTGATCCTGGACTTCACAGCCTCCAGAATCATAAGAAATAAAATAGCTGTTCGACATAAGTTACCTAGTTTGTGGTATTTTGTTATAGTAGCACAAGACAGGCTAAGACTGTGTCTTCTTAATAAGCTGAAATCCCATCTGAGGAGTAAACATCAGCTCATATTGCCTTCATAACCCCACATTTGACATGTCTCCCAATGCCTCCTCTACCCCATAAAAACACATTTGACTTCACTCTTTAGTTCCACCGACAAACAAAAAACATCTCACAAGTCTGCATGGTCTATTATAAAATCTGCACATGCCTATTTATTTCTCTGATATAATAGGTGTTACTATAGCTAGTTTATTTAAATATAGTACAGTTTCCCTAACACTGCCATTGTTGTATTTAGTCATTTTCACAAGTGTAGCAGACTACTTAGCAGATGTCTCTTCAAAATACTAAACTGAACCAGTTAAACAACGAAATATGTATGTATGTAAATTCCATTTAAAACCAGGATTGCTGTCTTCTTTCTAGATTTTTAAAAAATTTTTATTAAAACTACTTAATGGATAGACTTAATGAATCAATAGACCCATGTTCATGTCTACCAAGAAATAGATAATCTTGCCAAAGAAACACTCTTATATGTGTGCACATTTCTCGTGGGTAAGTCGTTTTAAAAAGACTCCCTGTGATTCATTTGTCCTTTGGAAGGTCCAAAAAATGGGGAAGTGTGTGATGCCCTACTTTTTAGTATGGACTAAAAGCCAAATCTTAGCTGATTACATAAATCTTCCTCAAACACTACCATCATTCCTGTAATAATAAGACATAAGGAAAAGGATGAAGAATTAATTTCTAATATCTACTTAGAAGCATACCTGCTTATATTAATCTGAGACTGTTAGCAAAACAATAAAATATTACTGGGGTAAGGTTTAATGAAACTATTAGAGTGAATATCAATGTTGAAAAGTTTAGAGGACAAAGACCAAGAAAGTAAAAACTTACATTTAGTCTATTTACAACCTAAAGTCAAAGAAGGCAATACTTCAAATTAAAGCAACAAAGTAGGAGACTCACAGAGGTTTACTTGGGAATGATGCAGTTCTCAAAACTATCAGAGAAAACTTCTAACTACTGTTTCTCAAAGCTTATAGAAAAGATGGTCTCTATAGCCGCCCACACATCTGACTGGAACCATGATAGTCATTGACTTTCCTGCTCTTTGACCTCCCAGTCTTTATGAAAATTCTACTCTAAAGCTGGAGTGCTTGGAGAAAGAGACTTTGGGACATGCAGTACCCTTCTTCTCTACATCTGGGTATTGGGAGCTCTTAGCAATACTGAATGGATAACAAACAATCTGGAATAGTTCATATAACTCAGCATTGATAAACATGACACTGGCTTTGGGTTCATGTGATATGGAGATTGGAAAAACAGAATCAGATTATTACTGAAAACCTTCCAGTGGAGAATTGAAAGATGTTAAGAGAAAATTAGATGAATAAGAAGTAGTCAACTCACATTTAGCAACAGAACAATTTTAAAACATGTAATCTGCAAAAACCTGAAAGATAAACTATCGCTAATGAGCTTATAAGTCTGCCCAAAGGGTTTGCTAAGAAATATTCAGTACTAGCGACAAAATTTTGTAGCTGTGTAAAGTGAAAAGAAATAGAAGAACTAAAACTTGGTGCTCAAAATTTAGAAGAGATATGTAAGATACAGCATTTGCTGGATAGAAAAAAACTATTTCATATTACTGTTTTGTCCTAGTAGCAAAAGTGTGTCAAAGTAAAAATGGCTCCAGGGGGGGGAAAAAAAAAAAAGATCAAGAAGATGACTATAAAGCCTTCCATTAAGATTTAAGAAAAATTTAAGAGACACCTTGTAGAGCCCTCACGCTAGACACAAAGATATCTACATTCTTAAAGGTGTTATTTCATAGCACTAATATTCTCCCCAAAGAAGAAACTAGTGTTTCTGGCGAAAAAAAATTGTGCATGTGCTTTGGAAAATGTAATTTTGGCAGTCAGATTCATAGGAAAACACAAAGTTTTTAAGAGAATTATATTAACTTGAACTAAAATGAAAGGAATGTTTCAAAATGAAAATAGAAAGTGGGCTGAGAAGGCTGTGTAGGTGTAATACTAAACTATTTCTCATAGACCAAAAAGAACTCCAAGGACAGAGTCAAGAGCCTGGAGGGGTATTTAAGAAGTACAGAGTAGAGTCACTTATGAATACAAGTAGAAAAAGTGGGCCTTAATAAAAATGAATTTCTCACCCTCAGCAGAGAACATTCAAATAACATTTGCCTGGATGGATTTCAGGTCATTTGCATTATGTGTCTTTGTTGCCTCATCTCTTTGAACGTGAGTACCTATTTCATTTACACTGTCCCTAAATTACATACTGAGACTCAGGGAACAGATAACTTGCAATTTTAGTTCACATGTCTTTAGGTCAAGAAGAACTACAGTCTAAATACCTCACCCTTTTCTTGACCTAATAGATGGTATAAGATCATAGACTTCAAGATTGGTATCATGACTGAAAGAGTTTTGGGGAGCCCAGGCGATGAATATATATTGCATATGGAAAATATGGGAATCATTAGAGCCAAAAGACAACTAGAAAGATAATCCATAAATTGAGAATGAGATCCTGTCAAATATCTAAGATAAGCACATTATCCTGGACAGACTTATAGTACAGTATGATGGGGAGGAGTGGGTATCCGAAACCAAATGAGGGCAAACTAGAACAATGCACATTAAAAACTTCAGACACTAGATTCAGAGGCATCAGGCTGAGGAAACAGGCCAAGGACAAGTAGTTTGAGTCCTGTTGAGGTTCAGGAGCACATAGCATTAAAAAACAGGAAAGTAATGTCTACATGGAAAATGCAGTAAGATTGCCTTGACAAAAGTGTGGTAAAGCCTTTGGGTAGGCTCACATTTTCCTCTGTAAGCAGGTCTCCCCTGAAACAATGGAGTTAGAGCTCACATCTAAACTTGGAACCCCTCCTTAGCTTTCAGACCGTAATCTCAAACTCTGAACATGACTTTGAGCTTTTTCTTTTTCTTTTTTTTCAATCCTTCCACATCACATGAACTCACGTTTTGTGTGTTTCTCCTATACACCTCTTGAAGACCTCAAACTATTCAGACCTGACCTATTTTACAGCCTAACACTGTCCTGTGCCTCCTGAAATTATCAGTATCACAGCAACATCTTCCTTGGCCTTTAACTTTGAACCTAGATGCATCCCAATTCCCTATTTGATTTCTAAACAATCTACTTATCTTTCTCTTTGTGTGTAATCTATGCTGAAGGGAAAACACCAGGCCAATTTTATTCCAGTTACTTTTTAAAGTTCTAATTTCACCTACATCTGCAAGAATGCTCTGTAGTCATTTAGCTTACAACTTCTCCTAGAGGAGCAACTCCGTGTCTTGAAGCCCTGGTTTACTTGCAGATTCTCCTCTGCCTAAAAGCAGATCATATCCTTTTACCTCCCTTCTGAAACACTTAGGAGACTTCAAATTGCCTAAAAAATAAACTCCAGTCTGCTTGCCATAGCAAGCAAGTCCCTCATTATCTTTCTCAGTTAACTTCTGTCTCTCACTTCCAAAGAAGTCCTATTGTGCCTTGCAGCATTTAAGTAAGCAGTACATCAAAAACTTCATGCATATGAATGCTTCTTCCATTTCTATGCCTCTGTATTTTCTCATATTTGTCTGTCCTCTTGGAAAGGCTTTCATTGTTTTGGCATGATATGATTAGTTCTCTTTCATTAATATTTAAAAGATACTTCATACATACCTTCACAATTTACTTATTGCTTTGTATAATTGTGTTTAGCTGCTTCATTGTTGTGGCTAGCTTTGAAAAGACAGAATAATATTCTGTTTTGTTTTGTTTTGTTTTGTTTTGCTCTGCTCTGGGCTTATCTTCTACACCCATCAGATTAATCGTCACATAAATATCCTAAATATCCTCAGTAAATAGTTCTTAGAGGAATAAATGGGAGCAAAGAAAAGAAGAAAAAGCCTCGGAGTTAGAAAAGCAGTAAAAACAATGTAGAAATAACTAAAAATGTTTTTGTGTTGGTTATTACCTTCCTTTCTACTGAATATGGCTCCCATTTGAACATCCATCTCACTTTATAGCCAAATCTTCACTTTATAGAAGTACTGTATTTCACAGGCATCATAACTAAAGTAGAGCTGTTAAGTAATACATTTCCTAGCATGAAGAGCAGTTGAGAGAATACATTTGTTCCATATTTATTTGTTACCTTTATAGAGAAGCTGATTAAATTTCTATGTCTCAGTTTTCTTATCTATGAAGAAAACCATAGTAATGGGATTCACGTTACAGAGAAGCTTGAAGGATTAAATGGCTGATTACAGGTGAAACTCTTAGAGATATAAACTATAGATATAAATACTCAGGAAAGATAAATACTACTATTGATCTAACTGAAATAGCCAACTTGTAGGTTCTTGTGAGATATTGATAGAATTTAATAATACTATCTTAACTCTTCAATGTTATTATACAAATTATTTGGCTATGACACCCCCCATTAATCATATTTATGCATGTAGGAGCTAAGAGCTAATAGTTTAATCTAAAGACAAAGTGAAACATTGAGAGCAAACACACACTTTAATATCTATTAACAATTAGATTTATTTTTTAAGGGTAGAAAAATTTATTGAGGAATAGGAATGGGGAATAAGGATAGCTCCTGAGAGGCAGGAGGGGTCCTAAATGGGTTATGCTAGGTCTTAGACTTGAAAGGCTGTGTATAAACCAAAGAATAAACACATCACGTAACTAAATCACCAAAGTGATAAATATTCTTGATGAGGAAAGCCTGAGAGCATTTTTGTCCTTCTGCTATTTTCAAGAAGGCTTGATGTGCCTACTCTCCTTAGCATAATCTTGATTATTTCACAGTAAAGACATTTGAATTAAAGAATTCAGTTTACCTTTTAAAAGTAAGAGACTTAAATTCAGTAACTCAAAAGTGTTCCCTAGCACTATGAAAACACACAGTTAGAACTTAAATTATAAAGGAATAACAGAAATATCAGAACAGCTCACAGCACACAGGAATTCACATATGCTATTGCACTGGGAAAAAAAAAATTAGACAAGCAGATGAGAAGCAACCATATTGTTTCAGCCAGAAACCTGACTTCCTAGAGCACTAATATTAGCATTGTTCAGGAGCTCACAAGAGTACTGAACTTAAGGAGCTCACATCAGATTTTCTAAATCACCAAGTCCAGAGGCATAATCCGGCAATCTATGTTTTTACAAACGTTACAGGCTTATAAATTTGTAAATTTTACTAAATTTGAGAAAGACCAGCTTAGAATTATTAAGGAGAAGTTAATCTTCATTATTTATGTGGAGTTCTGTTAGTTGCCCTTTACAAATGAATGTTGATATTTTAATGTAGATAGTTATTTAACAACTCCTCAATTATACGCTAAACAAGCACTAATTTTTTCCACAGAAGACATTCAAATTTTTTCTGCCATTCAATTTGCTTGACGGAATTGCATCAATGCATATCTGAAAACCAAAACTACATTTAGTGTGGTAACCCAAACAATATTCAAGGTATTTTACAATATATTTAACCTCATCATATATATTGTTATTTATACTTTTATGAAGTAATTGATATAAAAATATTAAATACTGTTAACTATTTTGTTTCAACAATTGAAAGATTACCATTTTAAAGTAAATATCACTAGTTAATATATGTAATTTAGTAATAATTATGTGATAAATATTCATTTTTAATATTTGTAATAAATATTTGCCTAATTTAAGGTATGACAGTATAACAATTATACCTAAGAATAAAATTTCAGATTTCTACTTTTCCTCTGTCTTTCCCTAAGATCCAAGTAGCTGCTAAAGTATTATTATTAAAAGAGAAGTATACTAATTGGAAGGAAGACTATCTTACAAATGTTAATCATATTTCATTACACTCCAATTGCTCTTACTTGGCCTCTAATTAAAATAACAGAAACAAAAGCAACAATTATAAGTCAGGGGTGGAGAGTTCTCTTTCAGAAGCAAGGTAACAGTCATTACAATGGTGATTTATGTGGAAAAATCACTTTCATTTCAGAGTGAGTGCTATTGGGAACTCAACTCACTGACAAGCTCACCTCGGTAAGTGGGTTTTTTGGGCATATGTGCCGTTGATATAATAAATGTGGTTATTTGACTCCAACTGATCTCATTTTATCTCTGTAAGCCAAATTAACTACTACATCCACAAAGACTACAAACATTCTGACATTTAGCTCATTTCATAAAATTATCATGGAATGCTAGATAAATTACTTTTTAAAACTCATTTTTGTTTATGTAACCTCTATACCAAATATTTAAAGTTCTTTTAGTCTCCACAGACCCAATAAGAATGTCCTTAATGTAACTTTGAATTAAATACGTTATTTATGATTTTGAATATTGCCTTAGTATAATACTTTTTTATATTTCTTTGATTTCATAATACAAAGTACATATTTAATGACAAGTGCTTTCAAGCATTTCCTGCTATATAAAAAGAAAAAAACAGTCAGGGTTAATGTAATTATTAAAAGGAATTCTATAATACTAGACATTTTTACTGCATAACTGACTAGTTTTTTACTTGTAAAACTGGTTTTATGTCATTTTAAGAAACATTTGAAAGACTATTATTTGTTACTGCTCACACTGAACTTTTAATTATGTGAAAAATATCTGCAATCTGAACTCCATTTTTTAACCTATAAAATTTTCCGGAAAAACACGCATATACTTGTTAAAAGATTATTGTGAAAGAAAAAGATCTTGAAGCTTTCTCTGAACGCTATCCCCCTCCTTTGTTACAGGTATCCATTTTTCAACTGTATCGATTTTTTAAAACAAAAAATATGGATTTCTTAAACTCTTCTGATCAAAACTTGACCTCAGAGGAACTGCTACACAGAATGCCATCCAAAATCCTGGTGTCCCTCACTCTCTCGGGGCTGGCACTGATGACAACCACCATCAATTCCCTCGTCATTGCTGCAATAATTGTGACCAGGAAGCTGCACCACCCAGCCAATTACTTAATTTGCTCCCTGGCCGTCACAGATTTCCTTGTAGCTGTGTTGGTGATGCCCTTCAGCATTGTGTATATTGTAAGAGAGAGCTGGATTATGGGTCAAGTGCTGTGTGACATTTGGCTGAGTGTTGATATTATCTGTTGTACATGTTCCATTTTGCATCTTTCAGCAATAGCTTTGGATCGCTATCGCGCCATCACAGATGCTGTTGAATATGCTAGGAAAAGGACTCCCAAGCAAGCTGGCATTATGATTACAATAGTTTGGATTATATCTGTTTTTATCTCTATGCCTCCTCTGTTCTGGAGACACCAGGGGACAAGCCGAGATGATGAGTGCATCATCAAGCATGACCATATTGTTTCTACTATTTACTCAACATTTGGAGCATTTTACATTCCACTTGTGTTGATTTTGATCCTTTACTACAAAATATATAAGGCAGCAAAAACGTTATACCACAAAAGACAAGCAAGTAGAATTGCAAAGGAGGAGCTGAATGGCCAAGTCCTTTTGGAGAGTGGTGAGAAAAGCATTAAAATGGTTTCCACAACCTACGTGCCGGAAAAATCTTTATCTGATCCATCAACAGACTTTGATAAAATCCATAACACAGTGAAAAGTCCCAGGTGCAAATTAAGGCATGAAAAATCTTGGAGAAGGCAAAAGATCTCAGGCACAAGAGAACGCAAAGCTGCCACTACTCTGGGATTAATCTTGGGTGCATTTGTAATATGTTGGCTTCCTTTTTTTGTAAAAGAATTGGTTGTTAATGTCTGTGAAAAATGTAAAATTTCTGAAGAAATGGCAAACTTTTTGGCATGGCTTGGTTATCTGAATTCCCTTATAAATCCACTGATTTATACAATCTTTAATGAAGATTTCAAGAAAGCATTCCAAAAACTTGTACGATGTCAATACTAGTTTAAAGAAAGTTTATTATTAAAGGATAAAGTTTTCTTTGGATGAAAGTAACTAAATATTAACTAGTAAAATATGTGCACAATTAGGGGAAATATATTACAACTTCTAAAATGGATAAAAACATGATTTATATTTTAATAACACTATTAACATAAAATTTATTAATTATCCTGGGAAACTCAAAATTAGAAAATATTATATGCAGATTTAAAATAATGTTTGCCTATGCAATGTACTGAAAAAGTTAACTGATACTGATTTTCCATATTTATGTGTTACAGCAATTAAGAGGAATTTTTGATTAACAGCACACTTATATCCATAATTTCTATATAACTATTGTGCTATTATATAATTATTTTATTTTGTAGAAAAGATATATTTTGTCACAATACACACACTTCTGCTGCTTAACTGGTTTTGTCTAGTCTCCATCTTACCCTATAACAAGGGGAGGGAGGAGATAACAACTCTTACAATGAATGGAGTAAATATAAAGATCAGACACACAGCTATTGTCTTTGTGTTTAAGTAGTAAAGAATTATTAAGTGGTAAGCCATGGCAAAATAATTCTAGATACTAAAATTGTGACTATTCGATATATCCTGTGTGTTTAATGTAAGCTGGAAGAATACTAACAATATCCTATTAATATGCAAAATTGAAGTCTTACCCAAAAAGTGGTATGGAGAGGAGTTGGGTTTTTTGTTGTTATTTTTGGGGTTTTTTTGGTACCAAGGGTCAAACTCACAACCTTGTGCTTGCCAGGCAGGAGTTGTTACAATTGCCCCTTGTTTACTTAAGAATCAAATTTAAGGCATTGACTGTCCTAAGTAATTGACAATAGTTACATTTCTAATGTCTTATTTAAGATGTAAATTATATTTCATTTTGTTCAATATAAACTTAATGACTTTGTTACTTTATACCTCATCTCCATACTTTTGAACACTATTTCCTTTTCTATTAGAGTTTCTTTAGTAGAAAGTCTTAGAATTTTCCACTGAATTTTTTTTTAAAAAGTGTTCTAGTTGATAGGAAGACTTATGAGAAACCAGGACTATTTTAAAAGTATGTAATTTTTAAGTTATAATTTTGTGTGTATTGTAAACTATACTTTCCTAGTAGGGTGCTTAAGAACATTGTATATTGATTCTTTTTTATATATCTGTGTCTCATTACTCCCAATCTAAAAAATATTTACAGAGTTCCCATTTTATATAAAGTATTGAGACATGTACTGGATAGAACATATAGGCAATAAAAATATAATTCATTCATGTAATAAGTTCATATTGTAAAAGAAGAACACAGAAGTATAACATTAAAAAATATCAGGAATCAGGGAAGAAAGTTATTTATATAGTTATATATCTGGTTGAGAAAAGTCATAAAGAATGTATGTAAAATGAGTGTCAAATTCAATGGTGTCCAGGCAAGAGAAACAGAAGAGGATACTGCAGGTAGTGACAGCATCAAGAGTTCAGGCTACAACATGCAAGTGTCTATGGGACACATTCACAAAGTATTATTGAGCATGGTAGTTATTTAGAACTATAGAAGAAAAGATCAAAAGGAAAAACCAGGCATTTTGTGGCTGATTTAGCATCAAAAATAGAAGTCTGTCCGTCTTTTTGTTGTCATTAAGTGATAACACATTGCAAGTTTGGGAAAATCTAAGAAAAAATGTTCTGATCAGATTTGAGCAGAAGTTAGTAGAGATAATGACTTCTCCTTAGAAATTAAACCATTAATCAGCAGGAGATTATAAATTCCAGACAGCCTTCAGGTTACGGAATAAAAAGGAAGAAACAAATGAGAGATAATATTAAGATAGCAACTACAGATTATAGCAAATATTTTAGTACGCAGATAGAAGGGGGAGATATAAGTTACTGAAGTAAAGTCATGTTCAACTGAAAAAAAAGGAATTCAACACAGGATCTACTGTTGAAGACTTCTTTTGGGAATATGTCAAGTATATTGAAAACATATTGGAGCTTGCAGGCACTACTGACCACTTCTTGCCTAAGAAAAATGAACAGGTAAATGAGTTTTTCTCTCTGAATGTAAAACCAACAGGTTAACAAAGTTCCTGGCTGTGTATTTTGTTCTCATTCTAATTTACCTCCTAGAACCCATAAACCTTGTTGATAGATCTACTACTGTAGTCTCTGCCATTCTTTTATTATTTCCTTTCCTTTTTGACTTACTAAAATTTGATTTCTGATTCATTCTTTTCATTCATTCATTCATTCTTTTAAATTAAGACCTTTCTGCAGTTAATCCATTGTTAGTTTATTTATGTCCATCTTAGAAATTTATATACTTATACTTGGGAAACTCTAGAGACACAGATAATCAACACAAAGAAACAAATTTTCAAGTTGGGTGAGGCGCACCCAAATACAGAGACTGTCATCTGATCTGAATTCAACAGAAGCTCTGATGTAGAAAAATAATACCATAAGTGACAGAGAAGTCATATGCCCCTTCAGAGCTCAGGGGAGAATCAGTTTTGATTTTATTATGTGTATGAAACAAAGGGAGGGTCTGCAAAGCATTGTAATAATTATCACTCCAGCTATGTTTTTCCTCCACATGCTATGTTACAGCTCATACCATGCTTCATGAATAAACATGAGGACTATTGCTTTAATATATTTGATGGTAGGTAATGGAGAGATGAATAATCTAACATTTGTACTTTCTTTGAAATATATGAAAAAATTACATTTTCTTGAATAATATTACATCAATGAAAAAAATTCCAAGTTAATAAATGTTGATTTTTTTCAACAAAAAATTCCACATCTATAGTAAATGAAACAAAATGGTGATTCATATATATATACATATATACAACTGATAAAGTATGTGAAGAAAAATGTAAATATTGTAGAAAGAAATTAAATATGAAATATGAAGGTTTACCTCTTGCTAGAATTTTAATATAGCATCAAAATATTAAGCAAAGATCTTAATTTTTATTTGTTCTTAATAATTTTAAAAGATATGAGAAAAGCAAGCACAAGAAATCAAAGCAATGTTGAGTCTAATACTCTATCATTAGCTATAGTTACATACAAATTGTGCTTGAAAATCCACTTCTGCTTGTGAGACATGGTCATCATTACAGAACTGGTTTAACAATGTTGCCTAAACTTACAGGTTTTGTTTTATATTGTTTTGATTTACAGTAAATCCACCAGATTAAATCCACAGCACAAACAGCTTGGCCAGACACTGGTAGGTCATGGGCCTATCCTTAAGTAAAATCTTTTTGTCTTTAAAGTTCCAAAATGTATTTTATTTTCTGTGTTCTTGAGTTTGACTCCTCAGTCATCCACATTCCTTTATTATATCACTTATTTCAGTTACAAATTGGTTCCTTTAGCAGAGCACAATCTGCTATTCAACACGCAGTTTTAATCTTTGTATTTTTTTTTTTTTACCCGGAATCAAACTTACAACCTAATGCTTGCCAGGCAGATGCAAGGCTCAATTTATCTTCTTTTCCTAAGGTTTTACCAAAAGCAAATGGAGAAGTACTTGGAAGTCAATTACTAGGAAATGCGTTGATTTGTTCCAAATAGCATGAAAGTGAAAATGATCACAAGTTTATTGCTGAAACATATTTCAATACATTCAGGGAGAAATTTTGCTCATAAATTTATATGAGACTATTTTTGATTCACCAGTCAGAGAATCAAGTGTACTGTATCAGCAGTAGAACTGAAATCTGAAGGGTTTTTCCTTAGTACATTCCAAAGTCTTTCAAAAGTAATCTTCCTTAATTCAAAATGTGACTAAAGTAATGTGTTTTAATGTCTTCCTAACAACCAAAGTGATTATATTCAGACTCTTATTTTGCCAAAAAAAAATCGAGAAGCAAATTATATTCATGCCATATATGAAGTACTTTCTTATGGTACTGTAATAATTTTTCTTATTCTTTTGAATCACGTTTTCTCTCATTTAAATGAGAAATATTGCTGAAGGTAATTGATAATTTTTACTTATTGATATAAAATATCTCTATCCACAATATGTCAGCATTTGAAGGCCACCTAAGGATAGAAATTTTTTCAAAGAATTGATAATATCTAATCAGGTTAAGGACTGTACAAATTTTGTTAAAAGAAAATATTATAACATAATAAATACTTAATACTTTAGCAGCAGTAGCAACAGTAATAATAAATCGGGTTCAAAAACTGCCTTTTGTTCAAATTTATGCTTAATTACAGTTCCAATTTTTATCATGGAGAATTTTCACCTCTGCAAGGGTAATAAAATGAATTTATTGGTTTATATATACACAGCAAACTTTCCATGTTCTTTCCATTCTCTTCAATATCTTTTCATTACATTAATAGTCTTAAACTATTTACATTCAATATTCATAATTAAATGTTACATTTATATTTCATGTTTTATTACTATTATTATATAATTATATGGCTGAGTCAATTACAACTTAATTCTTTTAGCAGAAGAGTATAAGAACCCATGTTCTGCAGCTCAATTAATAAAGGAAAATTTTTTCACCCTCCTATGTCTACATGTAATAACCATATACTCTTTGCGTTATTTGGGTTGGCTAGAATTCAGGCCTATCACAATCCCAATATAGAGGATGTGTGTACGTGTATGTGCCAATGTTTATGTCCTTTTGCAAAGCAAGCTGATATTAAGAAATGAACTTGAAAGAAATCAATCATCTCAGCACAACACACTGTTAAGTTTGAAGATAAAGCAGGAAGAGTGGAAAGGAAGAAACTTTTCAACAGGAAGGAAATATTCTCATATTTCAAATTTCAGATTCAAAATCCACTGTGGATAAAAATTAGTGATGCTTGTTACAAAAACATATTCCAAAATCTATGTCTGTAAATTTAAACTGGATATCAAGAATTTGAGTCGTTAGCAGGAATCTTAGGTTATTCCAGAGAGTTTAGCCTGGAGATTTAGCTCTTTACACAACAGTTTTAGAGTTCCTAAATAGTTAGATTTTTTATGGGACCCATTACAGTAAGCGAAAATGAAATTTTACTAACAAATTTAGTCAGAATCCAGAACATTTTGGAGCCACAGTACATGAAAAATGCCTGATGTAAAACTGTGTATTTGCAGAAATAAAAATCACAAAAATTAAAACCTATTTTCAGTCAGAATATTGTTTAAGTTTTCTATGACCAAGAATAACTTCATTGCGTATGAATCAGCTGCTTAGAACACAGTTCTCTACATTTGAAATTTAAGCCCTGATTCTTCCACTAAGCATTAACCTGATGCTGAGCCAGTTTCATTTATGTGGCTTTGCTCAAGGTGATGACACCTTAAGAAGTTAGAATGAAATAAAGTAAATGCTCTTGAAAAATGGAAAAGGACTACAAAATATAAATTATTATTTTCTGTAAGTCTGGAATGAGTGAGAGTACACTGGACATGGGACAGTCTGGTTTGCACTGTGCACTGCCTTTTTCTGAGTCTGGAGAGACGTAGTTGATGGCTTACACTTAGCTCTGTCCTTGGGTGAACAGTAATTCCCAGCGGTCCTAGCCAAGTCACAGAAATGCTACCTCTGTGGCTATTCACCAGTGTTCTCTGTTATGTTATATCAATTAATAAAAGCCTGGCATCTTCAAAGCTTGTTTAGCTTTCTAGAAAGATGTGATTCAAATCTAGCTACTCTACTAAATTTATAATGTGTTCCAACATTAATTTCTTCTACTGGTGTATTGAGAAGTGATTTTTTTTGCATATGTCTGAGGAATAGGATTTTGTTTTAATCTATTAAATAATTAAAAGGGAAAGTTGTCCTTAAAATCAGAATTTTAAGTTAACAAAAACAACATGTTGGGCTCTGTTAAATATAAGGAAAAAAACATTACCAATTTGCATGACATTGATATTTGAAGAAAATTCTCAATGATAGCTCTTTAGGGCTTATTACATTATATACGAACTCCTTTGCCTGACTTTTAGGATCTTTGTATTAATAATGAAAAGAAAGATAACAATCTTTTAAAAAATCTTATTTTGCATTTACCAATTAATCTTATTTGTCAATTTGACCAGATTATCAAGACTCCCAGAAAAGTGGAGAGTTGATTGAAAAGGGGTTGCTCACTCATCAGTGGACTGATTCAATGCTGTCCACACAGATTTGCACTTTTTTCTTTGTACTTGGTACAAAACTCATGACTTGGTACCTGCCAGGCAGTTGCTTATGCTACTAAGCTAAATCCCCAATCCTGCTTTCTGCATCTGAATGTGCTGTAAGGACATGAGGCCTAAAGGACGCAGGTCAGGGGGCCCTCCTCTTGGAGATGATATCTCTTAAGGTTATTCTTCCCCTGTTCTCTGCTTCTGGCCCACCACGAGCTAGCAGCTTTGCTCCACTCTCCCCTTCCACCACGATGTTTCTGCCTTGGAGGCAGCATGCCACGGACTGAAACCCTGAAACTATAATCCAAATAAACCATTTCCTCCTTTAACTTGGGGAAACTTTATCACAGAAACAGGAAAATGACTAATAAATCGCTTCTCACCTACAGCCAACAAATGCTGTCTTTTCCATTCTAGGCCCTCTCTTTAGAGGCCTTACTATGCTCATTCCTCTTTCCTCACTCCATTGCTCTTTCTGCTTTTTTCTCACCCCTCCCATGTGGCATGTTCTCCATCTCCTTGATGTTAAGCAACTTAATTTTTAAAGTGCAATAAAATTCAAGCTCCTCCTTGAAAGTGAATTACCATTGTGTCTATAGTCAGTAACAATATTACCTCCAATAATTCCTTAGTTGTTCTAAATATCCCTACATTTTTCATGTTTTGTTGTTACACCAATGAAAACAACACTGTGTGTTGCTCAAGAAACACCTTTATTTTTCTACGTCCTTCTACACATTGCATGCCAAATATTTTTAGTTATGATCTCCTTCCCTAAGTAAGCCTGGTCCAGGCCCAGTTCACTGCATTTCAGTAACTAAAATATAGTTAAATGATTGATTTATCTTTACTGTTAAGAAGGCATTATCAAAAGGACACTAAAAATTTGCTTAAAAATAGAAAAGTAATTTATTTTTCAATGATTAGGAAATATTCTATTGACAATGAAATACATGCATTTCAAACATCACTAATATTCTAGAAATACCTATCTACATATAATAAATCTCAATAAACTATTATTCATTATTAATCGTATGTATACAATATATTAAAAGACTTTAAATTGCCTCTTATTAAAGATAATATTTTTATTCCTATTTTACAATATATAAATAATAAATACACCTGGCCATATCAAAATTATATGATTGATATCCAGCCCATCCAATGTGAAATGACTCCTCTTAATACTTTCTCTCTGTTCTTAGCCTCAACCTGTTCCACAGCTTGTGTGTGGATGAGAAGATAGCTTTTTACAGTAAGAAATATCTCTGCAGTAAAGCAGGAAATGCAATATGTTCTTCAGCTCCAAAGGAGGAATTCTTACTTTCAAAGAAATTCTATAACTCACTATGTGTAAGAGCTGCTGAAGCTTCTTAGCAACTTCATTTAGCCAGAGGATCCTAAAAGAGGCAATAAATGATCAGTAAAAAATACTCACTTCACCTTGCTATATGATTGTGGTAAAGCACTATCCAGCTGATCAAACGCAGAAATGTCAGTTCTGAAACTGCGTTCTACAGCATGCATCTGAGAATTAGTTTAGCTTTGGAAAACACAGGTTCTGTTAGCTGGTAACAAAACTGAATGTCTCTTGTTCTTCAAGCAGGTTTGTTTATTATGGTTGTACTTCATCTAAAAACTTGGGTTCTAATTATATGACCATAAAAAAAAACAAAACATAAATTAAAACTTCATAATTTCTTGTTTCTGTACTGATGCTTCAAAAGGAAATTAACTGAAAATTTTTGCATGAAGTTTGATTTCCTTTTCCACTATACCTTCCTATCAATCTAAAAGTTGAAATACTATTTATTCTACTTGCCATACGTACACCAAAGTAACTCTGATTAGTAATGCATGCGCACATTAGGAATCTTCTATTCTTTTCCCTGTTCTTGTATGATACGTCATATGCAAAACATCTGCAGACTCTGGTTAGATAATAGACTTCTTTATTTGTATTTTCCTCTGAGTCATGTCTGTATATGTATACACTGTAAAATCTGAGCCAAAAGTTAAATGTGTTTTCTTTCTCTAAATCTTCCCACTGATTAAAAAATAATATTTACTGTGATCTTAGTTTTAAAAACACACAAATATCCAATTGTTTATTTTAGTTATTTTAATGTGTATCAGTTGCCCAAACTATTCAAAATGTTCAAACAAGAATTTCAACAGCCTATGAAATACAAAGATCTTTTCATTTTGTTGCTGCTGTTAAGAAGGTTACAAAAAAAAAAAAAATGTATGCTGGAATTTGGTGTAACTTAGCCCCAAAACATAGTAAAATGTGAAATAAATCATATTCTTCAAATAATGAGTGCTGATTTTAACTTAATGATTTCAAAATATTCTGTAGCATTCTAATAATGCTATAGGAAGGATAAGAAAGTGCAACATACATGGATTATGTCCAAGTTTTTTCATAGTGCTGTGGCAGCCTGAGTTTTAAAGAAAATCTCCCTCATTTAATAGTCAAAACTGCAATAACTTCACCTCTGGTTCTACCTCATTTCACTAAAATTAATGTAGACTTTAAACCTAGATTTGGAATAGAAACAATCGTCTTTCTTTTTCTGAACTAAAAGAAATAAGCAAAAATAGTTATTGAGATATTCTTTCTAAATAATATTCAAATACAAATGTTCTTTCATTCCGAGTTCTAGTCTTTCAAGAACAGTTTTGAATGATATATTGGATTATATATTAAATTTTTAAAAATAGCTCTTTTCAATTTTTCCCTCCCCAAATAAATCTTCAATGAGATAAAAGGGGCAAAAGGTTGGCATTTAAAAGAATGAAAAGATTATAATGCTGGCTAAATAAATGTTTACATGTATCACATAAAGAAATATACACTATAAATCTCCATTACATATTAAGAATATCATACTAGAGGAAGAAAACAAGGAAAAGTGCAGATATTTGCATTTATTCCCAAATATGAACCAGTAATTGTACTTATGGAGAAAAGTAGTATTCTTTGATTTTATTTCTGTTTCTCCCTTTCTTCATACCTCTTATTTTTGAGTCTGGTATTATGTTAGTACATCAGGCTGAGATTTAGGAAACTAAACTTAGGAAGAGTTTTGCAAATTGCTTGCCTAGATGTTAAATGAAATCAGGAGCCAAAATTCTGTGTCAGACAGAAAACGCGTAAACATATCTGCCCCCTTTGAGCCCTCTTTGGGGACTGGCTTCCTTCAAAGGAGGCTTAGCCCATGGAGCCTGCGAACTCAGGAGCATTTAGCTTGCACCATAACTATGCTGATTGTGTGGCTTTATGTCAGCAGTGACCAGGTTTAGAAATAACTATATTAAGTGTACAAAGACCATAGTGTTTATTTCCTTCTACTAAACTTGCCGGTGATTATTATGCTACATAGTGGATCCTTCTTGAATCTTCAGAGAAAATTGGATCTTGCACTTTGTCACATTAACTCAGCTGAACTTATCTCTGCGAAACCAGCACAACTAAAATACTGTACTATAAGAAACCTTTCCAAAGGTGCAGGAGATTACAGGGTATTTCTATACTGCACTTAAAAAATCTTATAGGTGTCAACTAAAATGGAACCTGTCCAATTAATGCCCTCAAAAACAGCTCATTTCCTTTTATGAGTTTTCTTACTCTTGTTCAAGTATTTGATGCAAAGATTAATAGAATTTCTAAGAGACATGGTAAGGTACCGGATTAGAATAAATTTTTCCCTCTGAAAATGTCATCAAACTTTTGAAAGTGTTATTATTTATTTTTCTCTTTTTAGTTATTTGTAGTATAACTATGTTGAATTTTAAATTTTGGTTTTTTAAAAATCTACCTCTTTGGACCTCACTGGAGTCTCTGGAGTAATGCTTCTCAGCTCTTACATATTCGAAAATATTCTTAATATCTTCAAATATAATCTACCCCATTCTTTTCTTACAGATTCCAGCTCAATATATGTTACAACACATGTTATTGGTTCATGTTTTTTCATATTTCCTACCACTTTGATTCTCTGGGCTTCAACTACATGTTATGTTGTATAAATTCACCTATTGAATTTTAAGTTTTCATTCTATTTTTTCATTTGTAGAAATTTGTCTTCTTTAAAAAATCCTGTTACTTGTGACTTTATTTTTTACATTTGACACAAACAAATTGTATTTTTTCAGTTTTAGCTTTCTGTATCTGGAAACTTTGAGCTTTATCGTCGTCTGTGCTTGCTCTCATTAGCGATGCTTTGTTTCCTTGTGTATTCACTTTTTGCTTTGAATGTCTCACAGTTTTATTTTTGTTTTTGTTTGTGAGCTTTTCACTTTTGGTTGAACTGTATATATGGAAATTGTTTGATGTTTGAGATGAAAGTAGGTACAGTACCTTCATGGATGATCAGCAATTGCTTTTGTTAAGTATCTGTAAGCATTATCAGAGCTATAACAGTTTAAAGTAAGTCACTGTCTTAGGTTCTTTATAAATATGTTTCATAGCACCAGATGGCATGAATTCAGGATACAAGCCTGAATAGAAGCCAGATCATACTTATGAGTCTTTTGGCGAAATTTCTGACAATGAAGGTTCAATGTTAAAGTTTCAAAATGGAAAAAAAATTGTCTTGGTTCCAGATTAGTCATGTTTCATTTCTAGTTACTTCTTAAACTTAATGTGTTGGGCTTTCAGTTTCATTTTTATTTCACTGGGGATCCTCTAGTATAAACCTACACTTCACAGAGGCCTGGGCTTGTATCTCTCATCGCAGTAACTTGAACAACTCATGTTTGAGATCCACTGGCCCAAAGGAATCCCTTAAGGCTAAAAGGTAACATCAGCGCTTTCATTATCTCTCAGGCTTCCTGCTTTTAAAATTATTTTTGGCCTCAGCTGCACAGTATTTACTTACTTGGCAGAATTTTCCTACATTTACTATTTTAAAAATATTTTTAGCTTCGATACTTAGTTCACCATATTACCAGTAATGGAAGTAAAATAGCTTAAATTTACTTTTTCTTCTACATTCATTACAACTACCTTAAGCTTTTACTCAATTTTATTATAATTTATTCTATCCCTTGCTGTTTCTGTTATTATGAATTATTTATTAGATCTTTAGGGGCTGGGGATTTAACTCAGCGGCATAAGAACCTGCCTTGCATTGGAAAATGGCGGCGAGCTAGGGGATCGAGCGAAGAATCTCTCCAGAGAATTCAAACTCAAAGATAAAAAAAGACAGCATGGAGAGGACCAGACAAATCGATAGCGATTCTTATTAACCAAGACAGTACAACTGGAGGATTTAAAGTCGTGCTGAGACCGGAGGCTACAAATCCCGCGCCCTTAAATCAACAAACAGACTCCTGGACCCAGCACGAAAAGCTGAGTTGCTTTTGGAGACCGCGGGAAACTGAGACCCAGATCGAGACTCCAAGTAGCAACCAGTTCTGCACCGCTGCACCAGAGCGGATGTACAAAGCTCTGGCGATTCAAATCTAAACGGTGCACAGAAATCTGACCGGTCAGCGCTGAGCCGCGAGTGGGGGAAAAGTGGACAGCTTGGTGTGCGGCGGTCCCGGAACGAGGACTTGCACCGGACCCTGGTGAGTACAGAAAACCCCGCCGCTGCTGGGTTTGACCAGAGAACAGCTGGCCCGCCACCACGGGGAAATCAATAACACAGAATCTGGTGCAGACATATTAGCCTGGTGGCAGAAATCGCAGCTTAGTGATATCACCAGGTCCCCCTGGAGGGAGGGCTGGAGGAAGACATCTTAAGTCCTGGCAGAGCCTGATTACTTGTTGGCTTCAGCTCCACACAGAGAACTTAGTGGGAGCCATCTTTGTTTTGGGCAGATCTGCTTTTCTGGTGCACCTATCACAGAGAGGTTTGGAAGAGAACGGCTGGGACCTGGGCAGAATCCTGTGCCATTACCCAGCTGCTTCTGATTCAAAGAGAACTGGCAGGAGCTACTGGGGCTAAACCAAGCCTCTGCTTGGGGCCCAATAAGCAGATACAAAATAGTCACAACTCAGTGACAACCAGAAAGTACAGCCTAATTTATGAACTAACTGACACAGAGGCTAGAGTCTAGACTGTACTGCCCCTACATCCCAGCCTTCCCCAGATAACAGCAAATTGGGGAGGACAGCAAAAACTCAAGCCAGCACGCTTCTGAAAGGCCCTAAGCAATTCGGAGAGGGCCAGAGAACTCCAGGACACTCTGAAAGAAACCAGAAACATGACAAGAGATAAAAATAAAAAAAAACCTCCAGCTGTTCAACAGGAGAAATTAAACCCAAGAGAACTAAACACTGAAGAGAACAAGCACAGTAACCATCCTCTACTCGACACAGCATCAGCCGAAATTAAAAAGTACCTACATGATCTCATAGAGGAATTTAAAGATGTACTCCTGATCCAAGTGAGGCAAGATATAAAGAGATTAATTAAAGAAATGACAAGCCCCGCCCAAGAGAACTCAGATGGAAGAACTGAGGAAATCAGAAAAGAAAGAGAAGCATCTGAAGAAGAATTTAAGCATAACTTAGAATACATGAAACAGATCCAAAGAGAATATCAGGAAACTCAGAACTCCATTGAATATTGGCAAAATGCCTTGACAGAAACTAAAGACAACCTTCTGAAACTTGAAGAGAGATTTAGGGCTTATGAACGTGAAAGAAAAAGCCTCTTAAAAATAACAAGGAACCAGAAAGAAGCAATTCTAAAACTGGAAGATGATAAAAAGATACATAACCTAAGGATAAAAAATGTGAGTGAAGAAGCAGGAACATCCAAAAATGAAATACAAAAAATATTCACAGAGATATTAAAGCAAAATTTCCCATGTATAGCAAAAAGAAATGATATCCAGATAAAAGAAGCATACAGAACGCCAGCTACCTACAACCAAAACAGATCTACGCCTAGGCATATAATAATCGAGATCCCAGAAATCCACCAAAAAAACAGAATATTAAAAGCAGCCAGAGAAAGGATGCAGGTTACCTATAACGGGAAATCTATCAAAATAACGGCAGACTTATCATCACAAACTCTTAAGTCAAGAAGGGAGTGGGGAGAAATATTCCAAGTCCTGAAGGAAAAAAATATGCAACCTAAGTTCATATATCCGTCAAAACTCTCTCTAAAAATTAATGAAGAAATAAGATACTTTCAAGACAAGGAGGAACTGTGGGAGTTCGTGGCCACCAATCCAACCCTACAGAGAGCGCTGAAGGACATTACAGAGAAAGAGAGGAAGAGATATCAGGATTACAGCTACAGTGGCAGAGAAGCCTCAGTGAACAGGGCAGACCATGGAATGAGGGAATAAGGTGGACAAATTATAGCAGAAAAGTGGAGTAGCAGACATGAGGCAGAGACGGTAAGCTAGTCTTTAGTAGAGACAGCTCTGAAACTATATTTAAAAAAAAAAAAAGAGGTCATTGCTAATGGTGTATAACGATTTAAAAGACACAGTAGTCCTAGTGACATATTTAGATTGAATTAAATTTGTTCTGGTCTGTCCACTCATATCAGATTTGAGGACACAGACCTCTAGAACCAAAAATAGCAGGTTATACCACGGCAACTATCCTTACTTTCCTATTGATTTAGGCTGAAATTCTGTATTACTTACATTGTCTTACTATGACTGATCTTAATTGTATCTGAATCATAAGACTATTGGTTGGCCTTGACTGATCCTATTTGAAATCGGTATGCGTGTTAGAATCAACCCTAAAAGTAGAGGAAACTACTCTGAGCATGACAAGATGTAAAGGATATCCATACTGGTATGAATCAGTAACAGCTCTCAAATACTACAATGCAGTCAAAGATAAGTTTTTATAAAAATAGGTGATAGTATGTTTAACTATAATAAGCCAGTGTTGTCGACAAATCTATTGAAAATAACAAGAGAAAACATAGTAGCTACGGAAGATCATTTATATTATAGTTTTATAAGTCCTATCCATTGCATGTTTATCTAGGAAATTGTTTCGTTGTCTTGTTATGACTTGGTTTTCCCTATAATACAGAGAGGATAGGAACAAATACTCTGAGGAAGAAACCTGAAAAACCCGAGGCTTATTTTGTAGCATTATAATATAAATTCTAGCAATCTATTGCTTGCTGATTAAAATGACTCTGGACTGGTTTCTTCAGCTCAACTTCAGCATATGCAGAGATGGGGACGGCTATCACAAAGAGAATGAGAGATGCGATGGTAGTTGGTATTGTCTTCCCTAATTTGGAACTTGAGGACCTAAAAAGACTCCATCATTGTCGATGTCCGCTCCCGGCCGGCAGGAAAGACACACGACAAGGTCTGGCGGTGGTCAGGCTTTTCTTTATTCTCTCCTTATACAGTCTGCCCCGAAGCCTCTACCGGTCCGCTCTCCGCGGCTCCTTCCGTGCTTCAGTCTGCCCCGAAGCCTCTACCCGTCCGCTCCCCGCGGCTCCTTTTGTGCTTCAGTCTCTCTCTCGAAGCCTCTACCGGTCCGCTCCCCGCGGCTCCTTTTGTGCTTCAGTCTCTCTCTCGAAGCCTCTACCGGTCCGCTCCCCGCGGCTCCTTGCGTGCTTCAGTCTCTCTCTCTCTCGGGGGTGGAGGCACTGGCTATATATAGGATTAATAGCTAGGCAGACTACCCTGTGAGGCGGGAACTTAGTGGGGTGATAAGAAACAGGTGCCACACAGGCGGGCTCGATGAGAGGGGTAATCTAGCCCAGGCTTTTGTACTTTCCCACAGGCCTCGCAATCACCGCGTCTGATGACTTGACAGTGCCACGGCTCCCAACATCTCCCCCTATTTTATTTTAAATGATGGCTACGCGCATCGCAGCCCGTCCTGGATAGAGTGCAGAGGCCTATGCCCCGAACTGAGGCCCACCGTAGGCCCTTAGCGTAGACCCTGGTCGGCCGTCCCAGGGTCCACCAAGGCCCTGAGGCCCTCGTCCTTTTTTCTAGGGCCAGGAATGAACCGGACGGAACCTGGTTGCACATAGGCATGCACTCATTTCTCTCCACGAATCCCCTCGGAGAGAAATTTATCTAACAATCCAGCGGCTTTCGAGCGGAACGGGGTAGGGCCTGGCTTAGGTTGAGTCGTGCTGGGGAGGCACGCTCTTACCCGTCATTGACTCACCCACCCTGCTACATGTTGTTGGCTAGGGAGGAGAATGTGGGAAGCCTGTCACTTTTAAACGCGGTCGTAGGCCATGCGAGCGAGCCATGCGTATACAAGGGTAGCACATAGGGGAGCAAGCCGTTCCAGGCCCCCAAAAAGGGATTGTCCTGCAGTTCTTCCAGGGCTCATCTTGTTGTTGGGTCTGCGGTTGGCCTCTGGTGGAACAGGCCTGATCTTCAGTCGAGGGACTTGTCGCGTCAACCTCTCTGGGACCCACATTGGTTCTCGTCCCGATTCCTGCGGAAAGACACAAACCGCGCCTCGGCTTCCTCTTTTGTATCTCTGCCCTCCTTGACGGACCCTTCTCGGGAGCTTCCTCACTGTGCCTGTTCAAACACCTCGCGTACTTCTACAAGTTCTTGAGAGCTCCCCCCGTAACTACCCTCACTCTTTAGGCACGCGTGTATCATTTCCCACAATGGACGAGCAGAGACTGAAGCTCTACCCTCCCGCTCTGCTAGGGAAAGGTCTCTGCCCAACTTTTCCCAGGAGGGCAGGTTTACATGCCCTGTAGGCAGAAACCAGGGAGCAAAGCTGTCAATCTCTGCAAGGAAATTTTCTAAAGTCTTACGCCCCACCTTGAGGTCCTTGGACTTTAGGAGTCTCCGAAGGACCAACACCAAGGCTGTGTATCTTTACTTGGCATGTTTCCCATTTTTAATATATCTTCTGTTATTTTTACTTCTATGTTTATGTTTTACACTCTTTTATTACCTTAAGTTCTGGTGTTATGTTTCATACTCACCGCGTGAGGCCCAAGAAACCCGCCACTTACGCGTGAGGTTGAGAGGAGTCTACAAACCCTGTAGGTGCGCGCCACCCAGGGCCCAGGCTTATCCTCTACTCACCTGTCCTGCAGCTGCAGCACTGTGTAGGAGAATGCAGTCCACCGCCGCGTCTCGGGGTTGATCAATCCCCGTGCGGGCCACCAAATGTCGATGTCCGCTCCCGGCCGGCAGGAAAGACACACGACAAGGTCTGGCGGTGGTCAGGCTTTTCTTTATTCTCTCCTTATACAGTCTGCCCCGAAGCCTCTACCGGTCCGCTCCCCGTGGCTCCTTTTGTGCTTCAGTCTCTCTCTCGAAGCCTCTACCGGTCCGCTCCCCGCGGCTCCTTGCGTGCTTCAGTCTCTCTCTCTCTCGGGGGTGGAGGCACTGGCTATATATAGGATTAATAGCTAGGCAGACTACCCTGTGAGGCGGGAACTTAGTGGGGTGATAAGAAACAGGTGCCACACAGGCGGGCTCGATGAGAGAGGTAATCTAGCCCAGGCTTTTGTACTTTCCCACAGGCCTCGCAATCACCGCGTCTGATGACTTGACAGTGCCACGGCTCCCAACACATCATCCTGTAATGATTTGATTAGTTCTATAAAATGCAATAAGTATAGAAAGTGGGTGAAGTTAGGGACAACTATTTGTAAGAAGCTAGAGACAGTTAGATAAGGTAGATCTCCAGTGGACTTGCTTTGAAATCTGTATTTCTTTAAATTGTTTTTTTAATTTTTTTTAAAATGTTCTGTTCTGTTTTGATATGGTTAACCTTATCCTCTTAGAGATGTAAAACAAATAGGTGGGACTGATAATCATATTACAGAGCTTTTGTTCGGCCATAGAGCAGAATGGTTTGTAGGGTCATTTTTTTTTGAATGTCATTCTATATACTTTAATTCTATAACCTGAACAGCCATTTCGAAGATGACAATTTGTAACTTATCAACTAGCAATTTCTTACCTTTTGTTTGTCTGTAATTTAGAATTATTTCTACCCTTTTTTTTTTAAATTTCCATGTATTTTTTTTCGTTTCCTTTTCTTTAAATAAAAAAAAAAAAAAAAAAAAAAGAACCTGCCTTGCAAGCAGGTGGTCCTGAGTTCGATCCCTGGTACCGATTAAAACAAAAAAAATATCTATAATTGTATGTTGTTCTCAGATTTTTATTTCTAAAATCTTTGGATAATCTGTTCATTCTAACTGGTTTTTTAGCTCTTTTATTGAACTATTTTTTATTACATCGTTGAATCACATAAAATATTATTAGTGCCCCTCCTCTACAGTTTGACTTATGGTTAGCTCCAAACTTCTATATATTATGAACCTTAAGTCTGTCTTCTTTGTTCCTTCTCTTCTCTGTCTATTCTTCCTTCTCCTTCTTTTCCTTATTTCATTATTCCTTCCCATCTTCTTCCTTTCCTGTTTTTCTTATTTTACTCTACTGTGGCATCATAACTGTCATGCCATATTCTTACATTTATCATCAAGTATTACTTTCCAACTCAAAGCAACATAACGAATTTTTTTAAAAATCACTTACCAGTTTATTTGTAACCAACTGATCTTTCTGTCAAGTGTATAAACCTTTGGAGCTGATGAGTTTGGTGCATTGCTGTGGAGCAGTGTTAGCTAGTTTGAAGACACTGCATCTGAGTTCTTTCCTGAAATCTGTTCTTAGCATTGATCTAGTCATAGCATTATTCAAATCTTGCACAGTTCCTTTAACAACAGTCCATTGGCCCTTCTTATCTCTGATGAATTTCCAATTTCACGTTCTATTTTTATGGTCTCTCAAGGCAATCTACATGCCTCAGCTCACAAATTACCAAATTAAATGACATTAGTGAAAATTTTCACAGTACTGAATCTAGAAAGATAAATGCTGGCAGTATAATATAATGCTAAAACATTTGTAATTTCATGATTTATCATGTTTCTTTTCATTTATGATATTATTTTGTGACCCTTGTTCTATTGCTTCTGATTAGTTTTGTTTCCCTCCCTACTTTTGTAAGTTTTTGTAATTATTTATTTGATCATTTATTTGGATATTTGGGAGTACTGCTTCAATTCACTCTCCTTATCAAAGTACTTTAAATATTTTAAAATAGCATCCTGCAGTTTAAAATTAGTCATTTTTCTGAAGTTTTATTTTGAATAATCAGGTTTTAATCGTATGTCTGTGAAGTAAAATGTGCCTGTGACAGGAGGAGATATTCTGTTAAACTTGTCACTACACAGAGAAGAAAGCACAAATATAATGAAATACAAGATAATCACATTTGTTGAGCTTATACTATAGTTCAAGAGGAAAGGCACAGGGCCCAGAATCCAGAGTAACCCTGTTCACTGGAGCAGGTCCTCATTGTGTGGAAGAACTCTCCGGAAGTTCAAGGGGTATAAAGAGCTACTAACAATAAATTTGACTCTTTTTTTGTATCAACAATCAGCTTAGCACTTATTCTTACACTGAAAAAACAAGTAGCCACGAAAGTCTTCTTATGTCAAGAAAATCTTTTAGTGTTGATTTTGTGTGTGTGTGTGTGTGTGTGTGTGTGTGTGTGTTGATTTTAAACAATTGTGCTTTCAACATTTGAAAGAACAGATTTGCACTGCTATTTGCTGCCCTCTTCAGGTGAATTTGAAACTCACAGACAATATTCGAATTCTGGAGGATAAGAAAAGAAACACCTATGCAATCATGCACTGTTTAATGTCAACAATATCTTCTAAGACATGGTCAGTTTAATTGCTGTGCAAACATCAACAAGAACTTAAATTCACGTGGCATAGCCTTGTACACACCTAGGATATGTGGGATAATTTATTGTTTTCAGCCTACAACCTTGCACTGTTACTTATTTACTGCTATTTTAGGAAATTATAACAAAATGATTTGTCTATCTATATGTACCTCAAATAGAAAAGTTACAATAAAATACAATATAAAAGATAAAAATGGGTGGACCTGCGTAGAGCCCTTCCCATGAGTGAAGATCACAGGTTGCAGGACCAGAATTTGCCCTGGGTAAGTTAGTCAGTGGGAGGTGACTGAATGAGCTGCCTTGGGTAGAACCCTACGGTACTGCAGACTTACATACGCTGTGCTGAGGCTACACTGAATTCGTACAAAATGGTTTGCTCAACTATACTTCACCTTTGTTTGCTGTAATCTTTTACTTTATAAAACCTTTTTAAACTTTTTAATTCTTTTTAAATAAGTCTTAACTTAAAATATAATACACAGCTGTATTAAAAATGTTTTCTTGTGTCCTTACTGTGTAAACATTTTCATATAGTTCTTTATTTTTACCTTTTATCTACTTTGTTAAAAAAAAAATAAGAGAGACAAGCACTAGCCTAGGCCAACCCAGGCTCAGGATCAACAATGCTGCTGTCATCTACCTCTACATGCTGTTCGGAAGAAATTCCTTTAAGGACAGTAACACGTATTGAGCTCTCGTCTCTCAAGAAAGCAATGCAGTAATGACTTCTGAAATTCTTCCAGAAGGACCTGTCTCAGGCTGTTGTTGAGGACACACCACTTTCAGAAATAAATCTGCTGTAGTTTGCTAAGGCTGTTTCTTTTCTTTTTCATCACAGATTTGCTGATAAGCAGATAATACACATGAACATTCATCTCCATTTATGAAAACCTTGCAGTGCTGGGACCCATGCTTTCAAACCTTTTAGGGAGGTTTTTGAAGTCAGCAAAAGTTTATTCTGAATCTTTCTAAGTGAATTGTCCAAAGGGAGTTTTCTTTATCTTCTGCAGCTTCCTTTGTTGTTACCTCTTCTTCAGCTATGTGAAGAAGGCATTAGGAATTTTTCAGCACTGCTATAATCTTAAGGAACCACCTTTGTATATGCAGTCCATCACTGGCAGAAATACCACTAAGCGGTACATGATTATATTACATTGCGAATGTACATTAGCAGAAGAATGATCACGAAACTGCAAAAGTACTTCTATTTGTGTTGCGTTGATGTCATGTGACTTGGAACTACTACATACTGGATGATTAAGAAATAGAGTCCTTTTTTGAGGAGATTGGCAATAAAGGAAAAGAACAATGGTTTTGAAACAGAAGTTATGTGTTGATTTGTTACCATATAAAGTTATATTTCACTTTATAATACAGGTATTGAGATAAAGGAGATAATATAAGTGATGTCTTTCCCAAACCTAGATTAAAAGAGTATTAAGGAGAGAACTTGAATTTGAGTAATGTGCTAAAACCCCTGTAATATAGAGTAATTAAAATAGTTAAAATTTATCCTTCAGATAGGAAAAAAAAGGTTTTACGATGCTAATTTCACTCAGCTATAAGAAAAACAGGTTATATTTCTCACACTAGCATTTATACCTGGGAAAAAATGATTGAAAGTTTCAAATGAAGTTTTTACAACAATCTTTTCACCACTAAAACTTGACCTTACTCTTTGTTAATGATTTGTATTTATAATTTCTCCCTTCCATTGTACCTAGCCCCTCCCTTAGTTTGGACAACATTTTTCCTCTCAAAGGAGTAACATGACTATAGCTACTACATCTATTTTGTTCATTAATTGTCCTCAGAATCTACAATGGTTCCTATGTATAATGATCTATAAGTATGCATAAATATGAAATATTTTTAAAAAATATTTTAAAAAAACAGATGGTCAAATTACAGATGGGAAACCAATGTTTTGAGAAAAACACCAGATTAAGACCACATATTACTTTGAAACTCTTTTTCTCATTAATGAGCTTTAATTATTTTTTTAATATATGTCATTTTGATAGTTACTAAGGCACTATTTGGACACTGTAAGACAGTCACCATTTATCAACACAAAGGACTGGTAGGTTTTACGTTTTTCATAGCGTTATATTTTAAATGTTATAACTTACTTTCCTTTTTCAGTGTCTTTTTCGTTTTCAGTCTCTATGACTGGCAAGAGGAGGACAGGGGCCAGAGATATGTTCATTGATTCAACAAAAACAGAGGAGGCCAAATTCCAAACACTTAAAATAGTAACTCAGTAATTCAGGCAAACATTGTTATTTGCTGCCCCTTACTGGTAAGATAATAAAATTGCTAAATCACTTTTTAAAAGTATTTTTGGCACTAAAATCTTATTTTATAGTAAATAGCTCATTTATCACAAGAATTGTACAAATTGATCATCTCAGATAACTGAACACCGTATGGAAAGAGTCATCTAATACTGACAGTTTTCTAGCCTTCAGCTTGGATAACTGTAGAGAAAAGTTACATGTGAAAAATATTAAAATAAATCCTATATGCACAAAACACCCTGTTATTGGAAAACTTAACATTTGTCATTCACAACAAGTAGCCACTTTCCTTGAAACACCAGGCTCATTTTATTAATCTGAGAAAGTATCTGCCTATGCCCACATCTGACCATGGTTTATCTTCCAGTCATTCTTTCAAGTAAAAATGGTATCCCGTGAAAAGAAATAGCTCATTTAATTCAATTCAAAGTTCTAGTGATTTTTCTCAAGATATTTATCACCAAAAATGCTTTATGCACACTTCTCATGTTATCATA